CCATTCTCTTCTTCCTTGAGATTCAAACCAAAGGCTGTTTTTCTAAAGAAAAAAAAAAAAAAAGAAAAAAAAAGAAAAAGAAACTAAAAAACCAAACACAACACCTCACAAGTTGCAACACTTGGTCCTTCTCTCTCTCTCCTTATCCCTTCCATCCTTCTTTCCACATGTCCTTTCCTTATTGGCTCTTTTGCCTCCTACTTTTCTCACTCCCTATCAGGGATAATTTAGGGGGATGGTAAAGGGTTGGCTAAGGAACAGACCCTGGGATTGGGGCTTTTAAGGGCTCTAAGAAGAGTCTACCTTGCCCTCTTATGGGAAGGGAGACCCTAAAAAAACTTCTCTTCTTCCTCCTTTTTCTCCCCCATGACGTGATCTCCCCAAGAGAACCAGGTTGTCTGGGAGGGGCATTGTTGTTGATTGTTCCTCCTTGACAATGTAGCAATAAACAGATGCTGCCAAGGGCAGAGGATGGGGGAGTTATCTGGGAGGAGAGCATCTCTAGAGAAGGGGAGAGTTTTCTCACCACCACCTGGTAGATCTAGCTTCTTGTTTCAGGATGGCTGCAGAGCTGAGATTAATATCTGGGGTTCTCCTCAACTGTTCTGGTTATCGAGCCCCTTCCTGTTATGTTAGACCTACCCCCTACCACCTCTTCTGCGTCTGCTGTGTATTTGGTGACACCTCATAAGGACTAGTCCCTTCTGGGGCAGTAGAGCCTTAGGGTGCCCCCATCCCTTCCCCTAGTCAGCTTTGGCACCTGTAACCTCCTGGAACATGAAGGACTATGCTCTGAGGCTATACCTTGAGCCCATGAGAGCAGCGACTGAAAGGGCAAGACCAGGTGCTAAGGAGGGGAGAGAAGGGCACTCTGTTTCTCTCCAGACCATCACTGCACTTTAACCAGGGTCTTAGGTACAAAATCCTACTTTCTAGGGCCTTTCAGCTCCAGAACCTCAAAAACTCTCATGCTCTCTCTCCCAACTCCTTTTGCATAAAAAAAAAAAAAAAAAGAAAAGAAAAAGAAAAAAAAATATTGAAACCCACATGGAGAAAAGAGGTGTTTTCCTTTTATATTGATATTCAAAATCAACACCATACAAAAAAATTTCTAAATAGGCTCTTTTCCAGACCTTTGTTTTTTCGTGTCACTGTCCAAGCTGCAGATGGGACTTTATAATACTTCTGGCAGCTTCTTTCCTTGTGTAAATAATATATATATTATATATATTTTTAATCAGAAGTTATGAAAAACAAAAAGAAAAAATAAAACACAGAAGCAAGTGCAATACCACCTCTGCTCTCTCTCCCAGGGTTTCATTTGTTAGCCTAAGCTTCGTGTCTCCTTGGACCTTGTCCCTTCATCTCTTCCTCTTCCTCTGGTTTCCCCTCCCCGTTTTTTTAAAGAGTTTTTCTCCTTCTCAAGGGGAGTTAAACTAGCTTTTAAGACTTACTGCAAAGCATTTTGTATATGTAATATATTGTAAGTAAATATTTGTGTAACGGAGATATACTACTGTAAGTTTTGTACTGTACTGGCTGAAGGTCTGTTATAAATAAACATGAGTAATTTAACACCCCTGGTTGTTTTTACAGATTTCCTTTGCCTTGCTTTTCTACTGGGAGGGAGGGAATCCTCCTTGCAACATTTGTACTAATAAACATTTTGAAGGTGAACAAGTCTAAGATTGAGAGAAAACCAAACAAGAATACTCAAGTTGTTGCTACAGAAGAAAAGAAGAATTTTTAACCAAGAATGAGAAGTAGAGATTCCCCCAGCATAAGTGCCTGAAAGATAGGAGAAAGCCCAACTTGCCTATCCAGCCAAAGCAGAGATTTAGCAAACATTCGTTGAGTCCCTACTATGTGCAAAATACATTATATGCTCAGGGAGACAAAAGTTACAATAACATGAAGATAATAACAGGGTCTACCACTTCTCAAACACTCATAAATGCTAAGCACTGTGCCAAATATTCGTTTAATTGTAGAAACAACCTACAAAGGAATGATCACCATTACTAGTGAAGAAATAAAAGCCCACGAGAGAATAACTAGTCTAAGACTCATCCATCAAAAAGTGACAACCCAGATTCGAACCCAGGGGTGTGTGGCTCGAAAGTCTGTGCCAGGGAATGCAGCCAGTGAAACCCTCAGACTATAAAAATCCCCAAAAAAGTCAGTTTAGGCACATTGACTTGGTTCTGTCTTAAATAAATACATATTGACTTTTTCTGTCCCTTTCACTCTGATTTTTGTTCTATTTCACTGCCATTCCATACGGCAATATCTGCCTTCTCTTTTCATGAGACTATATTGAAGTAAAAATTGGAGACACTTCCATCTAGAGTCTATCATTTTCCATTCCCCATTGAAACCAACAAATTCAAAATCTAAAGAAATCATGAATACAGTTGTTTTGAAGCCAAAACAAAAGTTAGGAAATAAATTTTAACCCCAATAAAGTAGGTTAGAGGTTAAGAGAAATCATGATGGGTTGTTAGAGGGAAAATTAATCTGGCGTATCAGACTCCAGAATGACTCATGAGTGAACCAACAGTTGGCCTCCATCTGTACCATCTTGGTTTTGAGTGCTGGAAGGTCCTCTTGACATCCTAGTTTCTTCAGTTTTTGAGATGACTAGGTGGTTGGCTTCCCACAGATAGCCACTCATGCTCAAGGCTAAAGACTTTCTGAAGGCGCTTCAGAGGTAAACAGAGCTTGTAAACAAGAAATTATGTTTCAGTCGGGGGCCAGACTCATCAACGATTGGTGAAATCAGTGGAGCTTGATAAGCATTTATTAAAATAAAATAGAAAACTGGACATACCAGTGCACCTTATGTCATAAGGGTAATTATTGTTTCATGAAGTTTGTGTTCGTTGTGTGTTTGTGTTTGCGTATGTATTGAGTACCATGTAAAACATATTTCTACAGTGGGTCTGAGTCAAAATTAAGTCACTGGTCCAAGCTATACCTCCATTTGTTTGTTTGCATAGTATAGTGGATCCAGAATACCTCTTAATAGCTCTGTGATTTTGAGCAACCTCAGTTTTAACCTCTCTACAGTACACTTCAGTTTTTCAATCTGTAAAGTGAGGATAATAATGGTACCTACCTTATAGACTTCTACAGTGCCTGGCACTGTGCTACCAGTATCTAGGTATAAAAACACGAATGAGAAATAGCCCCAACACCAATGCACTTGCCCATGGCCCCTCACTGTCGGTTTTTCTCCATTCTGAAAGGAGGTATTAACGAAATGTTTTGTTTTTCCTCACGTCCCCGGTTTCTGAATCCTACACCAAGTAGGACTGTCAGAGAAATGAACTGAGAGCGGCCCCCCGTGGCGTAGCGCCACTCTCTGTCTAACCGCTTGCGGCCAAGGGCCGGCCAGCTTCGCACTACAACTCCCACTCTGCATCTCTTCCCCTCTGGCCTCTAATTGGAAGCGCGATTTGTGGTCTTGCGCCGGAAAACCCGCGCCTAGCGTCGCAAAAACCGCATAATTATAACGCCCAGAATCACGTCCGGAATAGGGTGTCGCGGTGCCTGCTGGGAAACGTATAACTCTAATTTTCTTCCGCCATGCCGATAAAGTAGTCCCATGGTCACAATGTGCCACGAATAAGAAAACTCGAGAAACGTCTAACTGTCCTAGATTTCAGCAGAATTGCTGAATTATAAATAAAATTTGAGTAAAGTGGGTTGCCATTCTTGGCTTTCATCAACTAAGGATTAGTCCAATGTGAGCGTAGGAATCTCGCGCTATATAAGAGAGCTGGGCAGAGCGCCGCCCTCTCTTTCGGTTCCTCGCTTCCAGAATGGTGAGTTCTGTCTCGTGGTGAGAGTGGGTTCCGGGTGGAGGTTGAGAGGAGCAGATTAGGGGTTGTCGGGGGTTTGAGAGCCCGGACCATGGTGGAGGAATGGACAGAATTTATGTTTGTTCCGGGCTTGGAGAGATTTGCGGAGGGAATGGAGATCTGACTGGCCCCTTTCTGGGGGCTGCCCGTGTGGAATGGAGCCGGCAGAGGGCTAAGGCTGGGTAACTTGCTCATCCTTCGTAACAAAATCTTGGTCTTCGTGCAGACCAAAAAAAGAAGGAACAATGGTCGTGCCAAAAAGGGCCGGGGCCATGTGCAGCCTATTCGCTGCACCAACTGCGCCCGATGCGTGCCCAAGGACAAGGCTATTAAGAAGTTCGTCATCCGAAACATTGTAGAGGCCGCAGCTGTGAGGGATATTTCCGAAGCGAGTGTCTTCGACGGTGAGTAAGCTTCTGGCGTGATCTATCTGTGCATGCATCCTAATACCTACCCCCAACCCCCGCAGACTGCATTGGAGTGTCCCATATTTTTCTACGTTCCTTTAAGATTATTGGTGGAAGAGAACGTGTCTGCTTTGTTTGATCCTTGTCTTATTAGAGGGGACTTTTTATGGTACTATGGTAACTGTAGCAGTCTCTCTAAATTGTTGAACATTTGAGTACTCGTGGAAAAGTACTCACTAAATCTTGAAGAATGTTTCAAGTCGGAGGCTGTCTAGTATTGTCGACAAAAGTGGCTTTGGAGCTATATAATATCGTATTCTCTTTTTTCTTCAAACAAATTGACTTCCTTAGGTGATAAGAAGGTCCAAGAGTAGGCATCAGGGCAGGTGCAGCTGCTGAGGGAACTGGATTCTTGGTTTATCTAGGATGTGGATTTGGTCCCCTTGGTGATAGGATGAGTTAGGGGAATGGTACTCATTTGTGAAACTGTGTGTGTGTTTAGGTATCAAACTGAACGGTTCCTTTGGGAGTGAAATTTTGTAGATATGCCTAGCAGACATTTAACTAAGTTTACTTTTGACTGGACAAGAAAGAATAGTGCAAGGTAGGTATATAATATTTAATATATTTGTTTTCTGTTTCTTAGCATATGTACTTCCCAAGCTGTATGTGAAACTACATTACTGTGTGAGTTGTGCCATTCACAGCAAGGTAGTCAGGAATCGCTCTCGTGAGGCCCGGAAGGACAGAACACCCCCACCCCGATTTAGACCTGCAGTAAGTATCTTAAAAAGGAGACATGGAAGCCAGAGGGGTGGTGTACAAAAGATAGTTAAGGACCCAAGGATTATCAAATTAAAGTTTTTGGTGAGATTAGTTAAGTATGATAAAGCAGGTGGGGCCAACACCTAAAACATTTTTTTAGTCACTTGTAAGAGTTGTTTGAATTTGTTTTGAAATGATGAGTAGTGTGGTCGTCATCCACATCTACCAGTTTTTCATGCATTTATGGTTCAGATATGCTGTTAGTATTGGGAGGGTAGTGGTCAGGTATTTGGGGCAGGGGGGGAGTCTTTTGTAGGTGATTTTTAATTCACTCTTTCATTCCTTTGTCTTTTCAGGGTGCTGCCCCACGACCTCCACCAAAGCCCATGTAAGGAGCTAACTCTGAAGAACTATTGTCTGGAAAAAAATAAAGCAGAAGTAAGGAGCTAACTCTGAACTATTGTCTGGAAAAAAATAAAGCAGAAGTAAGGAGCTAACTCTGAAGAACTATTCTCTGGAAAAAAATAAAGCGGAAATTATACTTTACATAATGTATTGAGTGTGTTTGTTGCCAGATAAAGAATAGGTTGTGTATGTCATAGGGATTATAATTGCTATTACCAAGTATTCAAGTATGGAGTGCCCATTGTCTTTTTCATGGAGGAGAAAGCTTATCCGTGTGCTTTTTGGGGAGTGGGGTATTTGTATCCTCCACCTTCACAGTTTGCATAGCTTTGTGGGTGAAAAGGAGACTTAGGCATCTGTGATAGTTTAACCTGGCTAGGGGGAGAGGAACTAGGAGGATAAGGAAAAAGTATTAGATGAGGAATGTATCAGGAAATGACTTAGACTGAGTGCATATTCCTGGTGGAGGACACAAAGACTTTAATAGTGACTTACATAGATTTTAAGGGGGTCTGTGTCCAGATCCTTAATTTCATAAAATTTTCAGTGTGATAATGGTTCTAGAATTTAGAATTTACAAAGATCAATTGGGAATGTATGTTTTAAAATTCATTTGGGAATGGATTGATAAGGGCTCGCTTTGCTAGTTAGGTTTTGTAAATTAGCTTGGAAGTTTTGATCAAAATACACATTGTGTTGAGACATTTTTCTAAATGTCTATATTCATATGAATATGACAGCAGGAAAGGGTGAAGTATTTTAGAGCATAGAGGCGGTCCTCTTCACTCTTGGAGAACCTTTTAACTGAAACCAGATTTAATCTGCTGATTATGGTCATACCAGTGCATGCACTGGTGGAACAGCTAGAGCAAATCCTGAATGTTGGAACATTAGACAAGAGTGTCTCCATCCTTTGGGGAGGCTTATAGCAGCGTCCCTCTTCATTCCTCTACACTGTAAACCCTTTACACCAGGAGTAAACATTAGGTTGAAAATATGAGGTCCAAGATAAAAATGCTAAACCTGGTGGTGTCAAATCCCAGCTTGCTCGATAAAACCAGATTCAAGTAGTAAATCAGGGCCATGTAACTGCTCCAAGATTTTTCTTGGATTATAGGCATAGCCTCTCCTTTTCTCAGGATAAATTTTAACTGGCTCTCCAGTTAATTTATGCAATCAAAGTACGAGTATGATCCCATCTCCAGGGATCCTAATACCGAAGAGCCTAACACTAAGAATTGTTTTAGCAATTTTTCTACTTGAAGATAATCCCAAACTGATTGTCATTTTTTTAGTGCCAGAAATTTTAAAAAGGGCTTTCCATGTACTTTAGGCTCTAACGTAGCCCCATCCCACCTGCCTACAAAGTACCAGTTACAAATAAACTATATCTTGTGTGATGAGTAATCAGGATATTCAGTTTCCACCTGTGGAAAGTTACCTGCTCTGTAGGCACTCATCACCTACCCCAAAAAAGAAAGCCACATATGCTGTCAAGTAGCCCACAGGTCAGCTTGAAGTTCTCCAGGTATTTGGATGGCAAAATTAAGTCTGCTCTGCTAAAGCTGTTGTGGACTGAAGTTCCAGTGGTGGTTCACAAAAAAATGGGTTTCAGAGCTCTCGCCTCCCACCCTGTTTGTTTTAATGGATATTATTCAGAGGGGAAATGTTAATTGCAGTCTCAGCATCTCCCTTGTATTTCTGATGTGTTCTCCAGACTCAGTGTGTGAACATTCAAGCCAGGTAGAGGCCTCTGGGCTCTTGCAGCCATTGGTACAATGTACACCTAAGAGGTTATTGGATTTCAAGTCAATTGTGGTAGCCAGGATTCATTCAGTCTCTGGGCTACCTTTTCCCTCAGTCCCAAATGAAGAAGTTATTCACTGACTATTGCTATTTAGGTTAATGTCTTGCTTTTTTAGTTCACACATTTAGCTTATTTATTCCTTCAGTAACCATTAGATACAGGGGTATGTCCACTTCACATGCATGAACAAGCTAATAGGCTCATCGAAGGAAACAGCCAGTAGATGAACAGGCTAGGATCTAGATTTATTTATTCAATAAGTACCCATGTGCTTGGCACTGCGTGTCAGAGTCCCAAGTTCCCCATTAGACATCTGTTTAAGAACCAAAGAGTACAGCCATGCTACCCTGAACAAGCCAGATCCTGTCTGATCTCGGAAGCTAAGCAGGGTCGGGCCTGGTTAGTATATTTGGATGGGAGACCACCTAGGAAGACCAGGTGCTGTAGGCTTAAAAAAAAATAAGAGATTGTAAGCTGACCAAGGTCCTTGCAATCTGAGGTCAACCAAGGGTTTCCTCACATAAATAAAAAATAGTAAAAACAAAAAAACAAACCAATAAACAGCTGATTTGGACATAAATAGCACCTGATTCTTGGAGCTGTGTGACCTTGGGGGAGTTACCTCTTTGTCTTCAATTTTCCAATCTTTAGGATGGTCATTCCTATTTCATAGTATTTTGGTGAGGTTTAAGTGATATAAAACAATCATTTATTCAAGAAAAGTTTATTACTATATTTCTAAATGTTGAAGACATTAGCAGTGACCAAGACCCTGGTCTCAAGAGCTTTACATTTTAATGGGGGAGCAGTGTGAGGGGGTGATCTGGCATGAGAAGGGCTGCAGTTTTATATAAGGTGGCCTTATGGCTGTAAGGCTGATAACATTTGTTTAGAAATCTAAACATGAAGGAGCAGGCTCTGGATAAATGGGGAAAGAGCAGAGGGAATATCAAGTCCAAGTGCTCTGAGGCAAGAGTATGCCTGGCCTGTCACAGAAAAAAAAAAAAGTGTCAGCTAAATACTAGTGAGCTAGGGAGAAAGTGGTTGAGGTCTACAATCCTTTATATGAAAGCCTTGTAAGCTTATTTGCTTTGGAATTGCTTTTTTAAATTTTAGAACAGTAATACAAAGCATATACTATTTACAACATTCTCAAAGGGATCTGGAACAGCACTCAAGATTAAATACTCTATTTCTGCAGCAAAATATAAGAATAGGCATGTTAAGTGGAAGAAATAAAGACTATAAATGACCTAACATGAGTTTCATGTCAGATTTTGCTGCCATATGAGTTGCAAAACTTTTTAGAGCTGTTTTGAGTTTTCAATTGCAGACAAGGGGTTGTGTACCCATGGTACACAGAGAAGACAAGTCTGGGTCACCTGGGGCTTTGTGGGTCCTGGTAAAGACTCTGGACTTCATTTGAAGTGTAATGGCACATAATGAGCTACCGTACCCACTAGGATGGTTATAATAAAAATAACAAGTGCAGGTGATGTGATGGTTAGTTTTCCAAAGCGACCGCACCATTTTATATATTCCTACAGCTGGTGGGAATATATAAAATGGTGCGGTCGCTTTGGAAAACTGACATTTTTTCAAAAAGTTAAAAAGAGATACCACTCCTAGGTATATACCGAAGAAAACTGAAAACATATCCAATAAAAACTTGTACATGAATGTTCATAGTGACATTATAATAGCCAAAAACTAGAAACAACCTCAAATGTACAATTGGTGAATAGATCAACTGATATATCCATACAATGGACTATTATTTGGCCATAAAAAAAGAATGGAGTTTTGCTACATGCTACAACATTGATGAACCTTGAAAACATGCTGAAAGAAGCCAGTCATAAAACACCACATATGATTTCACTTATATGAAATGTCCAAATAGGCAAATCTATAGAGAGTAGATGAGTGGTTGCCTAGGGATGGGGAGGACAGGGTTGGGGGAAAGGGAAGTGATTGTTAAATGGTATGGGGTTTCTTTCAGGAGTAATGAAAATATCCTAAGATTGATTGTGGTGATAATTGCACAGCTCTGTGAACATACTAAAAACCACTAATTTGTATACTTTAAGTGTGAATTGCATGGTATAAAAATTATAGCTCAATAAAGCTGTTACAAAAATAAAAGTGTGATGGTAATCCATTGGAGAGTTGAGCAGAACAATGACAATCTGACTTAGTTCACAATAAATATTAGCTATTCTTTTTATTATGTCAGAGATACCTCTGAAATGTTAGACGAGTATTTCTCAAACTTCAGGCATTTGTGTACCTCTTTTGGTAGTTTTGCCATATCTATACTGTCATTTTCTTTAAATCGACATTTCTACATGTATTATAAAAAAATTATGTCAGTATTCTAGATGGAAAACATAACTTGCTATAAATAGAAGGTAATGTTTCAAAAAACTGTGGCTTTTAAATTTTTTAAAAAAAAGGTTTATCACTTTTTTTTAATCACCAAAATGATTTTTATCATCAAAAGTCATCCCACAAATGTCCCTGGGAAATGTCTCCTGAGCTGTAAGCTCATGAGGTCAGGGACAGTGTCTAGATGGTCAGTTATAGTGCCTGACATACAGCAGGTGCTCAATATTTGCAGATAAGTAAGCTCAGCTTATGGAAAAGTCGATGATTAATGAGTTATTTTTTTTTTCTTTGCATGAATAGGAATCACCTCTACCATTAGAATAAAATGAGTCCTAAGCCAAACCTCCAAAAATGTATTCAAAGTGCTTGGGATAGAATCTGAGAATTTGACTTTTAACAGCATCTTGAGTGTCCTAGAATTCAAGTGAGAAAATGTTGCAAGGAAAAGCAAGTGATCAACTGTGCCAACTGCTGCTAATAGGTCAAATAAGGATTGAGAAGTGACTACCGGCTTTAGCAATATGTGCTAAAGTTAGTGATTTTGAGAAATTTCAGTAGAATGGCAAGGGCAAAAGCATGATCAGAGTGGGTTCAAAAGAGAATTAGACGTCTTTAACATATCACTAAATATGATACTAATTGTAAAAAGAGAATGGGAAGAAAACTTTGGAGACATCTTTTTCAAGTTTTGCTGAAAAAAGGAGGGGAATAGGGCAGTGGCTGAAAGAAGTGGGGTCAAGAGGATTTTATAAAATGATAGAAATATCAGCATATTTGCTTGAAGATGGGAAAATTGAGAGAAATAAAGAAAAATCGATGATGTAGAGAAAAATCAATGTGGGAGACAGAGCCATGTCCTTGAACAGACAAAAAGGGATGGAGTCCAGGGCACAGGTGGAGAGGTTGGCCTTGGATAGGAGCATGGACAGTTTATCTACAATAACAG